GCTGGTTACCTCCTCACCGTCGAAGATCCTGCCTACCACAAGCTGCACGAGCTAAGAGAAGACGTCGGACAACTGCTGTGCCGAAGTCACGAATTCCTTAACCAAAACCAAGAGGACGATGTCTCTTGCTTCACGACGCTGTATGCGGCTTATCGGACCTGGATTACCGACGTTGGCATCGAGCGGTCAGCTCATCCGCTAGAACGACACCTTCGCCTCTACAAGTCCGACATCTCTGCGTTCAAGATCAGTGGCCTTCGCAAGGTATACCCAAGACCGTTGCTGATCAAGCGAGCGGATGCGTACCAACTGCTCCGTGTCAAGCACAATGCATCGGCGCGACAGAAGAGCGAACTGGATAAGCAACTCTTGCTTAACCTCGCCCAGTCATCTGTTTCGCCTTACGCCGATGTCAGACGCGTTGCACAAAGCGCTCTCGATTCATCTCTCAAGGCTCTGATTGGTGGCCGGCCCCTCGTGATTCCGATTCTTCTGGACAGACTCCGCCTGGCTCTGGACGATGTTGATCACGATCGCATCAAGGGCGCCATGTATACCCTGTTCTTCACTAGCTTGTTGAGGACGATGGTAAAGGACTGGAGATTTGCTCCGGACGCGCTCAAGCTATACCTCCGCGCCGGGACCATTGACAAGCCCAGCATTCAGCAGCTCAACGCGACGGCGCTCTTCCCCCTGCTAGACTTTGGCAAGCCCTTTGAGCGAATGATCATTGTCAACCAAGACTTTGTCGACAAGATTCAACCTTCAGACGACTGCTCCAAAGCTATCGATAGCCGCCACAACTTTATTGTTCAACGTCGAGAGCGTGTGGAGAAGAAGAAGCTTGCACTAGGCTTGGAATTGACTGAAATGGCCCGGGCAGCCCACTGGAAGATTGCGTCTCGATGCGCAATCTTTGCCAGCAACATGTGCTTGCGTTTCGATACGGTCGCGCCACCTGAGTTCATCGCTTTGGTGACGGAGGGTATCAACGACACTCACCCTGGCTTGCGCTCCAGCTACATGGCTGCATTTACCAGCGTCTTCGAAGCTGTAGAGATGCGTGCAGCTTATGACCACACCTACCGCAATTACCTGCTTGAGAAGGAAAAGGATCGGAACAAGATCACGATTGAGGTCCCCAAAGGCGATGCAGCTTTCACGCAGAAGTATCTGAACGCATTTGCCGGCAGTCCCGAGACTGCAGAGTACATGGTCGACTCTGATCATCCTGGATGGCTGGTTTGGGGCAAAAAGTTCCTCGCATCGCGTGCGAAACCCATGCCTTTCACCGACTACGACGATACCGAGACAGCCGTCCGAAAGCAAATCGGCCAACTAATCACAAAGGAGTGGCTGAAGACATGTTTCGAGTACCTCAAGCAGGAACCTCGCGATGCGAACGCTGATAGATTCCGCATGGGCAATGTGTATATGCTGATGCACGTGTTTGATCTCATGCATTATGGGGGCACAGCGATCAAGCTAGATGATGTCAAAGAGCTCACCACCGAAGTCTATGGCGATGGCAGCGACAAGCATCAACACCGTGCTACGGCAGAGATCATTGCGGCGCTTCTCTGCGGATCGAGCGATGATCCACCCGAGTTCCGCGATAAAGTATGGGGATTTGCCGCGCCTCTGATGCTAAAGGTCCTGAACGAGGACCTTACACCCGAGAACCTGCAGTACTGGGTCTCATGCTTGCATCTTACGGTTGACCCGAAGGATCCGCGTAGGTCGCACGAGCTTGTTGACGCACTGAGTTCTTTCCGGCTGGACATAGCTTCCAATGCTGCCTTCAAGGAGTCGAGCAAGGTCCAGGTACTAGAGTTCATCATCACGGACTCGGGCTGGCACTTCCGTCACGAGAAGCCCATCCTCGCAGACTTCCTCGCGCACATTGATCACCCCTACAAGACAGTGAGAGAAGCCATGGGCCGTGTCATCGCCACCATCTATCGAACCCGCTATCACGAATCCTTCGAGAACGTCGACAAGTTGCTGGAAGCCAACAAGTCGGCCTCCTCTCTCGGCCTTCGCCCATACGAGGCAAGCAAGGAGTTTTCTGAGACCGTGCTCGAGATCTTTGATCGTCTCGAGAAGTGGCGACATGAGCGTACCCCCGGTCAACAAACACCTTCGTCCTACACTAGTGGTTCAAAGACTGTCTTGACATGGCTTGACAGTACGTTATCGTCACAGGAATGCACCCAGCTGATGCCATTCTTCCCCGAACCCTTTATGGAACAGCTTCTACACATGATGGACGTGAAGGAGGATCCCGAGCTTATGAGGCTCGCCTACCACGTTTACCGTCATCTACCGAACATTCCTTTCAGAATTGGTGAGGATGGCGCTTTCATCGATGCACTGGTCCGCATCGGCAAGTCTGCCACGAGCTGGCATCAGCGGCTGCGATCCATGGTCAACATGCAAGTGATTTACTTCCGTCGCCTATTCCTCATCGAGAAGAAGCAACGGGACATCCTGTTCAACGCCGTCAGCGATATGCTCGCCGACCCTCAACTCGAAGTCCGGTCTTGTGCCTCGGCCACCTTGGCCGGCATGATTCGATGTTCGCCAAAGCAAATTCGCGATCCCACCATTGACCTACTCAAGAAACGCTTCGAGAACGAACTCAGGCTCAACCCGATGCCCAAGAGGAAGCTCCCGGGAACGGAGACCCCCGTGGATAACAACAAGCAGATTGTCCGTCGCCACGCCGCTGTACTGGGTCTCGGTGCCCTCATCGAGGCCTTCCCTTACGCTACACCGCCCCCGTCTTGGATGCCGGAGGTGCTTCAAATTCTTGCCACCCGTGCCGCCAGTGACCCTGGCGTGGTTGGCAAGGCTACTAAATCAATCCTATCCGACTTCAAGAAGACAAGACAAGATAGCTGGAGCGTGGATCAAAAGGTACAGTCCATCATTTCACCCCGTACCTCGTGCTGAATGTCTGCTCACATCTCAATAGTACTTCACATCAGAGCAGCTTGAGGATTTGGAAGGTGTGCTTTGGAAGAGCTATTTCGCATAGTCGGCGCGACATTGCTCAGGTATGCAGCGTGCATGCGTGTGTTGATTCAATTTAGGACATGGGCAGTCATAAAAGGCATGGTGACGGAATGATATCCAACCAGGGAAGCGGGATTGCATGGCCCTGACAGACGGGCCCAGGATAAACAGTGTGCTTGTAGACTTTGTAGTTCACATCCATCCTTTGATCGTACCTATTGACCGCCGCCGTGTTTGGCCTCGGAACCTTTTCAATGAGTCGTCTTAGGGAGGGCTTTTGCAGTCGTGTCGCAAGGCCCCGATCAGCTGGAGACCAAGTACGAATGCCTCGAGTCACGACATGTGTCGGGAGACTAAACCTTATTTCGAGCACGTTTAATGCGACGAACTCAGCCTAAGCGACGCGGCGTTCTGGAACAACCTGACACGCCTAGTTCCAAGGGTCCAGAGTTGAGAACCCAAGTCGTTCTCCAGCATTGCGATATGGGGAATGGCGCGCGCCAGCAGGGACAGGATGCTCGCTGTCGCCGTTTCGGAGTCTCAGGCCCTGACATCTGAGACGTCCCGACGGGGCGGTTCGCCGTCCTTGTGCGGGACTGACTCGAGGGCGAGCTCAGGCCTGTGCTTGACTTCAGCTACTCAGCTAGCCGCCTTGCGTTCCCTTGACTTTCTTGTGGCATGGAGAGGTTTATATAAACTGGATGAACCACGTTGTCGTGTTCTGGTTTTGTTCGTCTTAATTATCAATTCATTGCAGCTCGTACAGCAACTAAACTACAACAACCATCCATCTATACGCCAATCAAGAACATCATACACTCGTTCGTCCCACCAAACGAAACCGCCAAGATGAAGACCACCATCGCAACACTTGTTCTCTTCGTGACCATGGGCCTGAGCGCTAAGACGACCTCCCTTTGCCGAGACGTAGGGAACAAGGTGATTGAGGACAATGGTGTCTGTTCCACGGCCGGAGGCGCTCCTCTTGGCAAGGGAGTAAGTTTACCTTGCAAATACCATGGACTTCTTTCTTGAGATAATACCAGACCGTACTGACGAGAAATCAGATCTGTTGCTTTGACCAGTCAAATGCTCTCGTCAAGTCGAGGTTCGATATTGCGTGCGATGACAAGCTGGGTACGGTTCAGTCTACTGGGGAGGCCTGCGAGGCCTAGGTGATGCGAGGCGGAATCATTTGGTCATTTAAGTCATCTAGCATTGTCTAGCGTCATTACAGCGAGTTGATCGTCAATACATTCTTCATTCGAGGTTCAGGTGTCTGCGAACTCATGTTGCATCTTCCCAGTGTCACTGAGTGCGCTGCTGTACATCTGTCTACTGGCGGTCTTCACTACAGGCTGGAAACTTAACCGAGGATTCAGCCGGGAAGATCCGATATTAAGCACTCTACGAATGAGATTTAGCGAGCTGGTGGAAAGCGATACCGGCCTTTGTGAGTTTGAAAATAGGTGCGAACATCCTCTACCTTAAGCCGTATTTATTGATAACTAGACGTTGCCGAGGCCTATGATCAACGCATCGAGGCGGGGCTTTATCGAAATAGAAGTCAAAATTCTGGGACCACAAGCACTTGAATCCTATGAAAGAACATCACACTCACACGTGTAAACATCCGTATGTCGTTTCTCACGCTCCTTCAAAGCTTTTACTGCTTTTGCTGGAGCAGTTAAATCGGACGAGTCTAGATCACTGCGGGCGGGGATAAGACGGGGACGATGCCTAACGAGGGCATGTCGAATTTATTGCGCCATCCGAACTATTTTTTGCGTTTGACGTGGAGGGGTTCTGCTTCAATTCGGGATTAAAGAATGCAGACTTGGCTTATGTCGGACAGCCTTCAGTATAGTACATGAAAGTCCTTGATGTTCTTGCGGTGCTTCGCGACATCATAGCTTAACTCACTCCCTCGTCACCCACTGCGCAAGATTCCTGAGCCCAACATGAAAGCATTTACAATACTCATGGCCGTGAGTGGTCTTGTGCCATGGATTGCAGCCGACTGGCAGTTCCGCTCGCGACCGGACCTCGCACCTCCGAGGCTCAACATCACCATCCCAGCTGGAAACTCAGGGGGAAAGGGGTTCATTTTCGTCGCCCCCTATGCCGGCTTTGAGCAAGGCAATAGCGGACCGAACCAACCGGGAGCTTACATCTTCCGAGATGATGGGGAGCTCGTATGGTCTAGCATTGGCTACTACGCCGGCTGGGTCGCCAATTTTCGCCCCGATACTTGGAACGGAAAGCGATATTTACGCGGTTTCCAAGGTCTGCTTGATGGGCATCACGGCCGCATGTTTGGATATCATACTCTTTTAGGTTCCGATTACGAAGTCGCTAAGGTGGTACGAGTTGGGTCGCATAGACTAGTTTCTGCCCATGAGTTTCGCTTGATCAATGGGAAGACAGCTTTGATAGAGATACCTATCCCAAGGCCCGTGTCTCTCAAGCCTTGGGGAGGCAGTGAAGACCAGAACTGGATCATCTCCGGGGGATTCCAAGGTATGGCGATCATATTTTCTCATAGAGAAGGTGTTCGATGGCTAATTACAGTGACAGACACCGACATCGAGACGGGTGAGGTTGTATTCGAATGGGAAAGTCTCGACCACGTAGACCCGAAGTGTAAGTCACCGCATAGACGAGATAACTCTTGTGAGCCTTCTAATCTGAGACCTTATAGTCAGTGCATTCCCGCTCGACTTTGGCGAAGGTCTCCCAGGAGGCGGCAAAACCGAGACTGATGGGTGGAACTACTTCCACGTCAACAGCGTCGACAAAGATGACGAGGGCAACTACCTTGTATCAGCACGTAACACGGCGGCCGTTTTCAAGATCAATGGCACAAACGGTGAGATCATCTGGCAACTTGGGGGATTCCACGGAGGTTCTTCCTTCACTCTTCCGAAGGAAGATGTCTTTGGCTACCAGCATCACGCACGGTTCCGCAGTCGTTCGTCTGACGGAAATATTGAGGTAATTTCGCTCTTTGATAACGGCGCGCACTCTGCATCAGTAAAGACAAACCCGTTCTCTCGCGGCCGGATCTACCAGCTCAACCACACCGACGGCACAGCCAAGGCTCTGAAGACATACGATGCTCCGGATGGGCTATCGGCCCATACCCAAGGAAATCTCCAAGTGCTTCCTAACGGCAACGTTTTCATCAACTGGGGCCAGGCAGGCGCGGTGACCGAGTACAGCAATGATGGTGATGTCTTGTTCCACGCGTACCTCGATTCGGCCCCCGTGGGCAATTTGGTCCAAAGTTATCGCGGGTTCCGCTTCAACTGGACTGGCGTGCCCACAGAGGAGCCGGCCATAGTTGCTTTCAGAGGCAAGGGCTCTGTCATCAACGTATATGTGTCGTGGAATGGAGATACCGAAGCAGCGTCATGGCGATTCTCTTCTAGAAGTGCGGCGAAGGACAGTTTTCTTCTACTAGGAGAAACTAAAAGGAGTGGTTTCGAAACACACTTTCAATTTTCGGGGGCGGGTGATACAGAAAACTCGTTGGTCTTCGCTCAAGCTCTCAGTGCTAGGGGCAAGGTTCTCGGGCAGACTCGGGAAATAACGATCTCAAGAAACGAGGAATCGGTTTCTTCTTTGTCGGTTCAGTGGTCAGAGGAGCTTTGAGCTTCTGTCCCAAGGTTAATTCAAGCGAGTTCAAGGACACTCTATAGGGTCAGGGCTGAGTGCAGTCGATAGCAGCAAATACAGCCAGACTTGGTGTTTACCGGCAGGTTTGTTGCCAAGAATAATTCCTTCCGGACTGCAACTCAACTCTTTCTGCTGCAGGAGAGCAAGCGAAAGATGATTACCTATTCGCATTTAGAAACGTAAAGATCAAGCATGCATCTTCGCTACTAATGGCATCTCCTCCGGCCAAGGCATTGGCGAAGACAACGTGTCTTGTCGGGTATTCAAGTGCGGTCCGAGTCGATTGCGATGTTCTTGGTCGAATCATCTCTCGTGTGTATAAGTGGAGATGAGGATTTAATCCATGAGGGTTTGGATTGCGGCTCTACTGGGCGTAGTCATCATGCAGCAGCCAAGTTGAGCTTTCAGCCAGATTCTCGTTTAAATCAGGCGGTTCGGTCAACTCCCGACTACCAAGAGGTCTTGGTTCCTTGGTTGTCTTGGCTTGCCAAACCAACCCAGTCCTCTCTTCAGTCAGTATCGTGAAAATATGTCTATACACCCCACAATAGGCCTATTACTTGCCAGTTCCTCGTCTTCATTTAGCGCCAGACCTTGTCGCATTGTCCGAATCTTCCCGAAGTATCTCGGAGCCAAGAAAGCTCAGCCGGAGACCGGCTCAGATACTCTGTTACTAAGGACCTTTATACCGATCTTGGGGGCTTCATGTGAGATACATGCTGAGTGGCCAAGCCTATTTCAGCTTCACCGCGGAGACTCCACCATGATAAGCTGCTGTCCTGTAAGATCCCTCGCGTGCCTCTCGCCGAAGGTAGTCATTGCCGTAGGCCTCCGGGACACAGATTTGGATGGCCACACACGGCCATCTGCGACTTTCGTTGAGGCGGGGCCGAGGGCAAATCCAGTCCTATCCCTGAATTTTCACCTTTGGCTTCTCTGGACCCGGGGAGGACCCGCCAGAAATTAGCTGGACTGGAGTATGGGGGCGGGGTCTGGGGAAGTTACATTGCAGATGGCGGAGAAGAATGGGGAAGAGAAACACAATTTGGATATCAGTAATAGGCTCCTAGAACCAGATTACGGCAGCTCAACAAGTATGAATTGAACAGTGAGGGGGCTCTTAAGTTATAAAAAGAGGCATCTCCCATGTCTTCCATTGACTGTCACGCCCTCGCGTTCCCTTGATACTGCCTGCGCCATACAACTGTTCCTCATCAAAGTCATTTCTAGTCATGGTCAATAAAGAGAAGCCCACGGCCCAGTCAGGCATCGGCATGTCTCCCCCCTCCGGGAACGACAACGAGGCTACGGACCATGTCACGAAGGACCCCTCACAAATGGAGGCTAACGAAGCCAACGGTAAAGGGGACCTTCTACCTACTCCCGAAGAGCAGATTGAGGCTCTTGGAATCACCAACTGGCGTGATCTTGAAAAACAGGTCGTCAAGCGTCTTGATATGACTCTCATGCCATGCTTATGGGTTCTTTATCTCTTCAACTATCTGGATCGAGCCTCCATTGCGTAAGTCACTACTTTTTGAGATCGGCAAGGCCAGGCCGTACTTTCGCTGACTGAACGTGACCGCTTCAGACAAGCTCGCCTTAGCAGCCTGGACGAAGATCTTAGCCTTGAAGGCTACCAGTACGGAACTGCAGTATCAATTCTCAGTGTCGGGTGAGCGAATGAACCCTTACTACTGCCTTCGTTCATGCCAGCCTCTAACCGGAGAAAAGATACGTCCTCGGTCAAATTCCGTCCAACATGATCATTGGGAAAGTGCGACCCAGTCTTTATCTTTGCTGTATGGCTTTGGTCTGGTCTAGTGTCTCGGCAGCAACCTGTGGTGTCAAGAATTACCAGGGTCTCATTGCCGTCAGATTCTTCCTAGGCGTGGTTGAAGCACCTCTGTTCCCAGGTGTACGTAATAAATCGATGTCATCCCATTTTTGTCTCTCATGCGTTCTTCTGACAGCTATCCAGGCAATTTACGTCATGTCTTGCTGGTACACCCGCAAGGAAATGGCGTTGCGCTGCGCACTGTTGTACACAGGCCAAACTCTTGCTTTCTGTACGGCTGGACTCATTGCAGCTGCAGTTTTTGGAACCTTGGAGGGCCAGTATGGCTTGGCAGGCTGGCAATGGTTGTTCATTGTTCTGGCGTCAACCGGTGCAGGCCTGGCCATGATTGCTCTCTTCATTCTCCCAGACTATCCTGATTCCAATACCGGTAGCGCCCGCTGGTCAATGACGGAGGACATGCGTAAAGTGGCTGCTGCTCGCATCCTGGCCGATCGCGTGTCAACTTCGGAAGCTAAAGCTGGCGTCTGGGCTGGCCTGAAGATGAGCATTTTCGACTACAAGATGTGGCTGCTCGTCGGCATGAACATTGGAATCTCAGCTGCATATGGCTTCTCGAATTTCTTCCCATCCATCGTACGGGGATTTGGTTACAACAACACCATCACCCTCGTTCTAACTGCACCACCTTATATCTTTGCGGCTCTCGGTTCTCTCGTGAACGCATGGCACTCTGATCGGCAGAAGGAGCGCGGGTACCATTTCGCCGGCCCCATAGCTTTTGGTTGTATCGGCTACATCATCTGCCTGGCTACTGAGAGCAAGACAGCACGATACGCTGCTTCTTTTGTGTATGTTGGGGGCATGTACTTTGCAAACCCCCTCATATCAACATGGACATCCAATACCATGGGTAGGACGCCAGAGAAGCGAGCCATCTCCGTCGCACTGGTCAATGTTCTTGGTCAGATTGGTAATCTGATCGCTCCTTACTTCTTCGTTGATTCGGATGAACCGCGCTATCGGCTTGCCTTCATCATGATGATGGTTATGGGCCTAATTGCGTGCACGAGTGCCATGGGCCTGAAGTTCTACCTTTACAAGGCAAATCAGAGACTGTACCGAGAGGCCGTTCGCAACGGGAGCGTGTATAATCCTTACGTTATGTAAGAAGAGGACGTGGTTGCCACACTTACATATGTCACAAGAGTTCCGCTGAGAGATAGCCTTGGATAATGTTTTATCTCAAGTATCGAAATGTTCACAGGTCCATTGCTGATAGTAAACACTTCAAATGAGTGACTGATGCAACAGTTCGCTTCCTTCTCCTCTCTACTTCTGCCAAGTCGTCAAGTCACGGCGAGTAACCACGTAGGTACTAGTGTCTGTCCTTGCACCTGACCAGTAAAGGCACTTTCTGCCAGACGAGGTATGTCTTTTGTCTCAAGGTCCATTTCTTTGACTCCTCCATCAACTCGAGATCGAAACTCCAAATCAACTTGGCCAATATTATGCGTAGCTCTGCATAGGCCATGCTAGAAAACATGGTTAGAAAGCTCATTGGATGAAGGTACTGCTGCCTTACCTCTTGCCTATACAGTTCCTAGGGCCATAAGAAAACGGCTGACTCGCAGACTTATCGTCGTTGGCAAAGATGCATGTGTCGCTCTTATCTAGCCATCGCTCTGGAATGAATTGCCTTGGGTTAGTCCAATTTTGTTCCGAGTGACCAGCGGAAAGCTGATGAACGCCGACTGCCGTCTAAGATAAGAAGATTAGCGTCTTGCTTGTATCACCATCAGTGACATTTTATCACGGGTCAAACTCACGCCTCCAGGCACCCATCTTCCGTCAATTTCCTCACCGATTCCAGGTACAAATCTCGGCAGAGCGCTTGGGCTGGGGGGGTATATCCTCAGCCCTTCTTCGATGACGGCCTTAAGATGTTTCAACTCCCCTGTCGATGCAATTGATATCTCATCTTCGGTCTGAAATGTTGTTCTGATCTCTTCCGATAGTGCCGTGTACGTCTTCGGGTTGCTACACAAGTAGAAGGTGATGCCAGAAAGTGCAGTAGCCGTTGTGCCGCTGCCTGCGACAATGAAAGCTGACGCCATCCTAACCAAATCGGCATTGCTGAGGTCGGCTTGTGGGTTTTCCAAGATGTAACTCATAAAATCTCTTTTGTTATCGGATTGCTGAAGTCGACGTTTGACCTTGCCGGCAGTCAACTCTCCATGTCTCTTCAGAGCGAGCTTCTGGGCCTTTGGAGCGAGCCATTCTAGCCAGGCTTCAAGTCCATAGTAGATAGCGAACTGGTATCGGACGATTCCCTGCGCTCGAGCACCAATGACTTGCAACCACGGTTGGGATGCATCGTCTAGACACCCAGCCGCCTGGCCAAACGCCAGGTCGCTAATGATGTCAAAGGCAGCAAGACTAAACCATTTGACCATGTCCTGAGGAGCTCCAGTTTCGCTAGATAATCGCAGCTGTTCCATCAATTTCCCGGCATAGAGCTGGAGGATGTTCTCCTGCTCTCTTAGTGCCCGCTCGCTGAAGGCTGGCAAGACTGCCTTACGAAGTCGAGAGTGAGGTCCCTCTTCGGCCGTCACAATACCGCCATTACGAACCGTTGGGTTAGTCACACTAGGCCCAGCGATTCCCCGTCCGTCAAAACATTTCGCAAACTCTGGTGATCTTTGACCATAGATCTTTTTCCAGGCCGTAGAACTCGTGTAAGATAGCTCATCAGGTGCAATTCTGACAACTGGGCCATACTTTTCGTGGAGCTCGCGGATTTTCCAAGCGAGGTTGCCTTGCAGGTTGACAATGTTCCACGGCAGTCGAGAAGCGGCCCAAAGTCGAGGCCCAGGGTAGCGGCTTAGAGGATGGAAGTAAATGTTATAGATGATACGAGATGCAACGAAAGCCGAAAACTACGCATTGTTAAGAAATACAAGGACGCAGCAATAGAAGTTCAGATTAACTAACACAAAAGCTGATAGGAAGTAGCACTAGCCCAATATGGGATGCGCAGAGCGCATTGAAACCGTGGGTCAATTGCATGAAGCCTGCCTCTCGTAGAGGGAGAGAGATCTTCCTGTCGGTTGAGAAGTAATGTCAACTAACACTGAATGCAATAGTCTCTTGGCATTGCCAAGGCTCGTGGCACAGGAACGCCTTTTATTTTCACCATTAAAAGGCTGTCATGCTACATCATGAGTCAGGAAACAATTTCAGATGAACGAACAGTGAGGCTGCCTTGTAGAACGTGGGCGGCTCCTGGTTTTTGATTCATTGCAGAAATCATAACCATCCCTGCAGCGGGTCCGCAACCATTGGCTGTACCGGTGTTTCGGTAACAATTACAACAGCTCCGAGTTACATTAAATCTAACAATTATCTCAGTCTATGGGTATCATTTTTCCTCATCTTCCTCAAAGAAGTGCACGACTGATGGTGCGAAAGTGGCGTTGCCATTTACGTTTCCTCCGTACTGCAAATATCCAGCCGCATCAACGGCAGGAATGCCAGTAATGTCTTGGTAATCTCCCATAACCCAAACACTCTGCATGCCCATAACCATGTGTTGCAAAATGTGGCAGTGAATCTAGACTTTGGTCAGCTCATGTCTAACAAGCCTTGTGGAAATGAAGCAGACTTACCATCCATACACCGGCGTCTTCCACACGCAGACGCCAGCCTCTCCAACCGGAAACATCGCCGGACTTCGTCTTCTCGCTATATCGATAAAGGTTTGTTGTGTCTCGCTTGACTGGATTGTAGTTCTTCAGCCGCTCCTCGTTCTCGGTGCTATTGTAAGTTCCATTGCCACTGCCAATGTCCCAGTAATGTCCACCATGAGCATGAAAGGGATGGAAGTCGAGGCCACCATTCCCATTGACCAGCGATCCAGTGTTGTGCCAAATGATCTCGAGAACCTTGAATCATGTCAACTCAATGTTCTTTTAAGTGAAAAAAAGAAAACGGTATCAAGCACTCACCTCACCCATCTTTGCCGGCCATGTCAACGTGGTCGGGTCCCAGCCGTTGTTGTTCATGGCTGCAGTGTAGTTCGGAATAGCAGACGGCCCGTTCTCGTAGATGTTGATCAGGTAGGGCTGATCTCCCGCATAAGGTGTCGAAGTCTCGTTCCATTGCAGTCCGTTGAGCTGCCAAAGGGTAGTCTGGGTCGCGAGCTGACGATTATCGATGTGGATTTGCCGAGTCACTTCGCTAGCTTTGGGGAAATTGTTTGGTACCAACGGTTCCAAGGCATACTCTGCCCATTCATACGTCTTGTTGGAAAGAGTCAGAGGAGGAGAAACTGGCGCAGTTATAATCTGGGGTTGTGCCTTGGAGTATCGTAGTACGCCATAGCCCTGGTAAACCTTCGGACGGTCTTTGGTCTCCAACTGAATAAGGTAGTCGGTTTTCCCGTTCAACTCTGCCTCGGTCTTGGTCTTGAAGATGACATCAAAACGCTGACCCGAAGTCAACTGCATGAACTTCTCAGTGTGAGGCTTGGTATAGTGACCATCAGCTTCAATGATGGTAAAGTTGTCATGATCCACGATGCCTACTTGTACCATGGACAAAGCCGTGGCACCAATGAAGCGCATGCGATAAGTCTTTCCAGGCTCCACGTCGATGACTGGTAACTTGCAGCTCCCGTTGCCAGCTGTCTCCCCAACAGAGACTCCGACGCCGTTGATGAGGACCGCATTCGTTTCGCCAGACCAGGTGAAAGGCGTTGCCACCAGCCCCTTCTCGATAACAGTGTCCGTTTTGTTGAAATAGTCGGTGAGGAAAACAATTCTCTCTTCGTCATATGCATAGGGGGGCTCGGCCTTGTCTTCAATGATCAGTGGGCCAGAAGCTGTCATAGCCTGGAAGCCGACGTGAGAATGGTAGAAGTAGGTGCCGGACTCGGATCGTAGGGGGTAGACCTCGTAGTCGAAGAAATGGTCAGGTGGAATAGGCCACTGGGTGGCCGATGGGCTACCATCAGAGAAGGGTGCCATGCGCATACTCAAACCATGCCAGTGAATGGTGGCATTATGGTCTGGCATATCGTTGTAGACTCTGATCCAACTTCTTCGCCCAGGCTTCAGTCTGATCGTCGGCCCGAACAATGTGCCATTGATCAAGGCCGACATTCTTGTCTGGCAACCAATTGAGACGTTTTCGTAAGTCATCTTCAACACAAAGTCCGGCGTAAAGCTGGCACCATGCTTTTGTCGACCTCCATAGTGGCCTGGAGGCCCGTGATCCGACTTGCGCGGGCCCCAAGCAGAGACCTGCGTAAGCAAGGCAAAGAAACAAAGTACCGAAACGAACGACTGCATCATGGTCAATGAACGCACAGAGGAAAGTTGAGGGTGTGGGAGCCGATTACATCGAACAGAATCTGGCAAAGGGCCTCAATTTAGATGTATGCTCACGAACCCCTCACTCGGCGCCCTGTCTCAGAGCAAAGATGAGGGAATGCCATCATTGAGTTAGCCTTCAGCGCTACCCATTCCAGCATCACCGTAGGCATTCGTAGCCCCTCTTCATTCATTTCACTAATAAAGTTACCGTTGCGTTCACCCGCCGAAGCGTTGGCTGCGTTCCTCGTCGGCGGTACACGCACACGTTGCCGGCACTGCAGGTCAAGCGGCCCTGTGCCGGTTTAGCCCCGCGATGCAAACCTAAAATGTGATTGTTTCCAATCGGAACTCCCAAGTGCTGCGAATGCGAGGAGAGTGGGCTTGAGTAGTGTTGTTGGCTTTGGGATAGACTTTCGTCGATCCCTGTACTTATTTCAAATCTCACTTAAGCCTGTTTCTTTGTTTGATGGTTGTTCCCGAAAGTCCGTCTCGAAGCTATGTTCTGCATTCGGCCACCTCGTGTCCGGAGTTCTCGGACTTGAAGTCAAGGGTCTCTTGAGATCTGCGGGCGCTTATTAGATTAGCTTCCGCCCTAGCAGGCGAACTCACCTGCAACTGCACGCCAAAGAAATTCGACAAACTCCTATAAGGTTTGATTCAACTACGGCGTAGGCCGACCCCAGATTGGTTTAAATGAAGGGTCACAAGAATCACATATCAAGAGTCATGACCGTCTTTTAACCTCTGTCATAATTCGACAAAATTCGATGATCATTCGGGACACATCGCGTTCGCCGACGCTGGAGAGCATTTCGCGTCTATGACTCTCGATTGAGGTGGATAATACTAGATACTAATGTACGGGAGTGTGCAGCTGTCCCTACCTTCATCTGACTCGAGTACGCGCAGAGACTCTAACATCATGACAATCCATTCGGAATTGATCTGGGTCAAAACCTATCGAGAACATTGGGGAATTGCATTCAATCAGGAACAAATTTGACGAGCTGAATGACGGACCAGATTTCCTCCTCGATGGGAGGGTTTACGATGAGAGGATTTTTACCTTGCCAAGTTCTTCAAATTGCCTGCCGAGAGGAAAAGATTGACGAGAAGGAAAAAAGGACAGCTGCAGCATGGCCCCTCACACACTTCATTTACTGAAAAACAACCAGAAGCTCAAAGAATGACTGCATACGTAGAAAGTCATGAGTCTTCCTTCCACACCAGCACTCAGGCTTTGAATCCAGAGCACCGCTTGACCATTTCCGAGAGAGAAACGAGAATACGGCATAAATGAATTCTTGACAATAGGAATGCTTCAACTCATCCTAAGTCTCCGACTCTTAGATAAGCAGTGGACACTACAGATCTATGCAAAGGTGAACCCAAGCCTGCTCGGTGGAGGAATGATACCAGATGGCAGCCAACTATCAGAAGTTTCCACGGTTCAAGACTGAAAATGTCATTTTAGTCCACAATTTAATGCAGTATGTGTGTTAGTTTCCTGCTAAGTCAAGGTCGCCTAGTTGGGGCTTGGTGTACACATCGATAAGCATAGCAAAAGGCGAATGATGACGCACTTGGACCTCGAGTTGCACAACATAAAGCGTATAGCAAACCACCCTCGCGAATACTTTATAGCAATCCATGTGACTCGGAAATCTAGCTACATAACTTTACGGATAGCCAACCATCGTTTGAAAAGCACGGATGGTCTGGGTAGAGGCCAAGCCAATTCATGGAACCTCTCAAACGCGGGAGATCTCAATGATTCTAGAAGATCGACTGTAGACAAATGGGGTCTCAGATCATTCTTATAGAGACGACCGCGCGAAATCCATCACATAGTCTCTCAGGCATCTGGTTCGTAACATAGCGGACTTGGGCCTATGGAAAGCTTTGTATGAAGACATAACTATAAGAACCAATAATGACATATCAGGATATGCCAACTTCTCGTTCAAACTACCACACTCTCGGACGTGAATCAGCCCGCCCAAGTTCACTAAGCAGTGAGCAGTGTCTCTGTACGTGTGAGCTAGTCTGAACGTCTGCGGTCTCTTAGTCCGGAAGACTCA